AAAGCTAAATGTTTGTTTTTCTCAGGAGATCTGGAAGATGCGGAGTCAGATGCAGATTACTCGTTCTCCTGCTATGCTCAGTTGGAAGTGGATGGATCCCAGCACTCACTGACTTGTGCTTTTGATGACCCAGATGTCAACAGCACCAACCTGGAATTTGAAATTTGGTGAGGAAGGTAGTTTCTATGGTGCTTAGAAATAAGTTCTTCCTCTATTTCCGCCTGCTGTTTTCAGTAGCTGCAAAAGGGGTATCTTGCCTAATGAGATACTAAAATCTAATAATAGCCCAAATACTCCAGAACACTTAATCTTTTGCTAAAAGACCAGAGAAAAGCAGTTCTCACTGTTCATCTTTCAGGTCCCAAGGCTACAAATGATATATATAGATCTTGAAACTCCACATCTCTCTGGAGCTTGTAACAGAATTTAAACTCTGGTTCTCCTAGACTGTTCCACCAGGAATAGTACAACAGGATGCTATCTAGTGTTTGCAAGATGCATTTTTCAGTGAAGTGGCTTGCATTCTAATTTCAGTATGCAACAATAACTTTCATGTCTAGAGCAATTTATGGAAACATTAGTCCTCAGTTTCCTCACCTAAACAATGAGATAATCGAACTCCAGGAAGGTTATTGTGATTAAATAGTTCAATACATGTAATCCCCTCAGAATAATCATCCAATATATAAGAAATAATGGAAAAGAAACATGGAAACCTAACTGTAAATATACACCTAAGACTCCCACCTCCTTGATATAATTTGACTTCAGATTATCCATTCAATGGAAATTTTCCAAAATCTGCATGAATAAATTAACTCTTAGTTTCATGAGGCCTCAATGAAAAGCTAAAGAAAAAGTAAACCTTAGGCTTAAAAGTTAATAGAGCTTAGGTAGCTTTTTCTCTCTCCCCTAGCAAGTCATGTCTTATTTCCAAGAGCTGCTATCTCCAGTGATTTTTAAAAAATTACTCTAATGTGAAACCCTGACAGTAGCTATCTCCAATTTAATATCAGAGGGCCTCATTTTTAGTTCCCTACTCAAGAGAGTAAGTAAAGATCCACCAGAAGTAAAAGACAACTTTTTAAATTCTATAGACACCAAGCCAATACCTTAATATGTATTATCTATACAAGCTTTGAGTTACATCTTATTTTAACTTTGGAGCTGTGTTGTCGACTTGATTGGCTTTCAAGCCATTCTGGAGATTAATAAAGCATACATTTGGGTGTGTGTGGGTAGTCATGGAGGCATGACCTGAGATCCATATGTGGTCACCAGCCCCTTCCTTGTAGGTGCTACTGCCATGGTCTGCTTCCTACGAGGCAGCTTTGCTGAGTTTTCTGCATCTACTCAGGCAGTACTTTATCCCGTGATTACCAAGAGAATAGTTCTTGCTCTTGTATTCCATTCCGCATACTCAGTTGGCCTGTTTGTTCACTTCTATAAATATTTATAGAGAGAATAGGTGCTTACAATATTCAGAATGACGGTTAAAGACCCATATAACTTATTTAAGTGATATACTCATTTTTCATGAGCAAAATACCCTCCCATCTAGAGGTTAGATTTTTGGTTGTTCAACCAACTGGTTGATGAACTGCTTTGAATGCCATGCTTTGTCTTGGACAGCACAAGACTGACCTTTCTACTCACTTTCATAGATAGTGTTTGACTGCTCCATGTCTACTTGAACATGCTTACTTCCCATTTGAACATGCTCACTTCCCTTAACAAGTCTAGAGTCCTCATTTTGGGTTTCTGATTGGGTTTATAGATTGTTTTTAAAGACATCTTAATTGTAAAATAGTGTCTCAGTTACTTTTCTCCAATTTCTGAGACAAAATACATGCTGCTCAAAATTAAGGAAGAAAAGGCGTACTTAGCTCATAGTTTGTGGGGGTTTCAGTCCATTATCAGCTGGCTCCAAGGCAGGGTGGTATGGCAGATGGACAGCAGTTCACAACAGTGGATGACAACATATCAAGAACAAAAAAGGGAAAGGGCAAGCCTCCTTTCCTCCCTTTTATTGTAAGCACTCTATCACCCCCTTAGGGCGAGTGTAGCATCCACATCATCTCCGTGCCCTCCTCTTGTACAGCATGAGGATATTTATAAAGTGAGGGCCCTGGTCCCTGGCTGACTTACTTGCTTCAATTTCTAAACTTCTCAAGTTGACACAACATACCAAACATTACAATTCACCCTTTCTCAACTTCTCATCCAGACATATTCCTTTGTACCAGTTTCTAGATACAAAGACATGCTTATTCTTATGATTTCATAACTTGAAGATTATAACATGAGTTTAACAATACTTAAGAACAAGTGTTAATTCTATCAAGATTATATTACATTAGAACCATAACATTTTGCTCCTGTCTTCCCACAGACTCATGCACAGCCATTTATGCAAAAGGCATTTAGTCCTTCGCATAAGCTCCCAGGGTCCTATCAGTTTTAGCATTGCTGAAAAGGCCATGTCCCAAGTCTCCTCTGAGATTCAAGGCAAACTTTAAGCTGTAAGCCCCAGTACAAATGAAAAGTTAGACACTTCCAATACCCAGTAGCACAAGATAAACATTACCATCCCAAAAGATACAAATGAAGATACAAAGGAAGGGGACCCAAAACAAGTCCCAAATCCAGCTTGACAAACATAAAGTCATATAGTTCCATGTCCAGCATTTGAAACAATCTGTGGCAAATTGTGAACTTCAAAGGGCTTGAGTGACTCGAAGCCTATGGCACTTCTAAGGATTTGTCTCCCACAGCTTTTCTCATAAGTTTGCCTTATTCTCTCCTTGCAGCTTTCCTTAGGTGATTCATGTTCCTGGCTTTTACAAAATTCTGTGATCTCTACCATACTTTCAGCTTCAACTGACAGCTTCACACCCTGCCCCTCTAAGTCACACTGCCTGGCCTCCCAGGCCTTCTGAAATTGGGGTGGAAGCCCTCTCCATCCCACAACGCTTGCATTCTGCATGCACCTAAAACTAGCACCATGTGGATGATCCCAAGCTCTACTGCCAGCCAGAGCAGTAGCCAAGCTTTCCTCTCTCTTGGCTGTAGTGGTTGAGTGCCTTGATAGTTGGGCACTCTGAATCCAATTCTGAGGAATAAATTTTCTATGCTGCCTCTTTTCTAGAACAAGGTGCTCTGTGACTTTCTCCTCAAACCAAAGGCTTTCACTTGTGTATTATTGAGGCTGCAAAGGGTGGAGCCTTGTTGCTCCTTGTGATGCCCTCAGGCCATCTTTTCTATTGTCCTGTTCCTTTTCAGCAATTGAGAGCACCTCAGTTCCATCTTTATAGCTCACATCTTCACTAGACCTTCCTTTCCGGCAAAACTCACATTTTAAATCATGCTGCTAGGCTTTTTGCTCTTAATTCTCAACATAGATCTAGTTAAATGCCCCTGGCAGTAGCCATGGTACCACTTCAATATTTGACTGAAATTTCTTCACTCAGATTAATTAGTTCACACCCTTAATCTCACTCTCAGGCAAAATATCTGGACATGACCAAAACGCACACAAAACACACATCATCTGGAGTCAACAGCCAGTTCAGTCCTTCTTCCCATAAGAAACCTCCCAAGCCTAGTCTTTACTAGGAGGATTTCTCTCAGCCTTCTGATCTTCTGAGCTGTGACCAGAATCTCCCATACAAAAGAGCTAAGACATTCCAGCTCTACTTTTTCAGACATCTCTGATCCTTCCCAAACTCTTTGCATAAGCATTCCCAAAGACTCTTGAACAACATAGTCAGATATAGTCACAGCAACAAGTCCACTTCTCTGTTACCAAATTTCATGCCAATAGCTTTTCGCTATTGATTTTTCCAGCCATAGTCTATCCGGAGTCCCCATTTTGGGTTTCTAGTTGGGTTTAGATATTTCAATTGAGATTCTGGAGATAGTTCAGCAGTATAAGTGCCTGCCTGGCAAGCACAAGATCCTGAGTTCAATCACCAGTACAAAAAAAAAAGGAAAGCAAAGCAAAGCTAAGCAAAGATAAAACACCAACCCTGGATCTAGCCACTAGGCTAGCAGGCCAAGAAACTGATTTAGTAGCTATTTATTGTGTTGATCTCAAAGATGGACTTGGATTAACCAAACTCAGGTAGTTTATCAGTGTGTCAACTGACTACTTCACATGAACCCAATTATCACAATAACCCAAATATTCATACCAGGCTCAGGACTTAGAAAAATTGGCAGGATAGAGAAATTAGGCAGGCCAATAGGTTGCGTATCAGTACAAATCCACCTTTACTCGGAAACCCTAGAACCTTTTCATTCAGCAAAATGATAGCCAAATCTCAGGTGCCTTGAGTGAAAAAGTAGAGCCTCTAGAAAAGGTAACTGGGGACACAGTCCTTATGGCAATGCTAAAGTGTCTCTGGAGCTGGGGACTTACTTAGGCTGTCTCTGCAACAGGGTACAAGGGATGAGTACCTGGCATGTCATAGTGTCTGAAAATGGAACTTAATTTTCTCAGTGTAATTAGATTTTCATTTAAAATGTGATCAAAACATTGCTCATATAAGAGTAAATACAAAGGTGGACCTGCTGGGCCAGTATGTATACAGGATGGCTGAGATGATTGTACTAATAATTTCCATCTGTTTTTTAAAAATAGCAGTTAATGTGTAGAATTTTCACCTTAACTAACTCTGTATGCTGATATCTGTGATCCAAGCAACAACATTGAAGACAGCAATGTATAATACAAAAACTGTGCTTGAATACCTATCATCTTGGTCTTCTAAACATGTACTGCTTCTAATGTCTTACCAATTCTTATTATACTCTAGTTAAAATAATATTTTTAAAGTTTAAAAAAGACAAGAAAAATATTAAGGTTTCTTGAAAGCAAGTGGTGATATTCAATCATTTGTTCAATCTTGTGTAACTATATCTGTCAATCTGAACAACAGATTTGACTATAAAATTAGATAATAGAACAGCCATTGTTAATTAGCTGCTCTTGTTTTGAAAATCTTCAACATATGTATTGCTGTATGTTACCCTGGTTCTGTCATTGTTTCTGCTATTTGTTTTTGCTTTTGTTTTTACTCTTCAAAATAAAATTAAGTTAAATTTTTAAAAAGTAAATATAAACAAAAAAAAGTAAATATAAAAATACAATGAAAAATTGTTGAAT